AAAATCAGCCTGAATCTATTTCAGATCGCGCTGAAAGCGCTACAGGCAGCGAGACGGACGGCTCAGCTTTTGATTGACACCTAGTTTGGCCAATAGGAGGGCTTTGGGGGTGAGTGACAGCCTGAAGGGCCAATGGAGTGTCTCAGACAGTCAACCCGGTCCGCACAAGTTCCACCCCGGACCGATACAGCCACTCTCCGTCCACTTCTTGGACTGCCTGTCTGCCCTCGCCCAGTCTGTTAGTTAGTTTAGTCCCTGACCCCCACTTCAGTTAATCCTGGTTCCCCATTCATTTCTAGTTAGTTTCTAGTTTGAATTTGTCCTTTCGTTTCAGTTCATCTTTTCCTTTTGTTAATAAAACATGTGTTTAACCTCTCAGCCTTGTCTGTGTGATTTCTGCTCAGGTTCTCTCCATACCGGGACAGATTTTTCCAAAAATGAGCAGAGAGGTGGAGTAGTGGATGTGGGCCATGGACTGAACCCATCTGTCACTCAGTTGGTTTTTTTTGTAAGTTGTTGGTAAGACTGAGGGAGGAACACACAAATGAAGCGAACCACAAGAACGTGGAAGCAAAGGCAGAAGAAAACTGTTTGGCTAATGTACTTGGTAAGCAACTTGTCCTCATGTGAGTGAGGGCCACCTTTGAGTCCAGTACCCAGGTCTTATAGTACATCCATCTTCAGCATCTTCTCGTGAGCTGCTAGTGTAGTGACATGATATGGAGCTGTCTCTGTAAAAAACTAAGAACATTTTTGCCATGTACAAAGTGCTGCTAATAACAAACCCACAGGGTCAGTTCTGCAGCTCCTCTCAGCTCTTTAAGCTCATTGTTTTGGGTTTCTGCACAGCTTGCACTTATTTTCTTTAGGAGTTGGTGAAAAACAGCAAAAAGAGACTAAAAATTGGACTTCATTGGCCAATACTATTCCAATAAATACTAACGTCGTTAACGTGGTAGTCATGTCAACTTTAGAATGCAGAATGTGAACAAGGTTTTTAAGTCTCAGCTGAAGTGGAATCCTGCAGACTGATTTGACATGTTTTACTTTTAATGTGTAAAAAATGCCCCTTTAAAGGATTTGATGTACGTGTGTGAATTTGTTTGTTTACATGGAAGACGCCACACAGGTCGAGGGCTGTTTTGTTGCTGCTTTGTTTCCCCTCTGTGGCCAAAAAACAAAGCATGCAGCTTTAAGTATAGAACTAATTATTAAAATTGCTGTGGAGCAATTTTATTCAGTGCTGGATGTGAAAACAGGCAATTTTCCCCTAATGGGGCAACTTTACAAGCCAGTAATACGTTAAATGTTTTTAGGTTCTGAGTTATTGTGGTATTCTGCTGAGAAATGTATAACTTATACTTTTGGTGCTTTTAAAACTATTAGCTATCATACAATTATATGTTCCTGAGAGCCAGCCTACTCATTTATGACCTCTGGAGTGGACATTTGTTTTTGATCTTTATCTTTTGACTCATTTGAGCTGCCGTGTTAGTTCCTGAATGTGAAGACGGACAGCTGTCTGCTGATGTGTCGGCCTGTCAGCTTTGCAACACAATAATATGTCAGTTTATAGTTTATGTTTTTGTGCTTTGGATGTGTAGAAAATGTCCTTCAAAAGACTTGATTTGTGTGAATCACTGCTCCCATTGTCTGTAGCTGATAATGTGTGTTTTCTGTTTCTTCAGCTGCAGAAAGTTGCCAAAGTATAAACCACCACAGCAGCAGCTTTAATTATAAAAACTGAGCAGGTTTTTTTCTTTTTGCTTCTCTCAGATGTAGTTTAAATGCTGTTTTAGAGAATTTTATCCTGACAAAAAAAACTAAATAACAAGAAGCAGTTGTTTTTTTTAGGCCTTATTTTATGTATTTCTTTAACCTTTATTTTACTGAGTAAGTTAATTGAGAACCGGCTCTCATTTTCAGTAACAACCTTATTTTTGTGTCTGGCTCTGTTTTCCTCGTCTGATGCTATCGATAGAACTGGAACCCGTCCTGCCTGTAGAATACACTCATGTCACGCTCATGGATCTATTCTCACATTAACCCACTACAGCCGAGGTGATACCGACAACATGTCAGCTGTGCTGGCCTCTATTTTACCAGCCTCTCAACCCCTCAGGGGTCTTTGAGATATTGCCGACATATAACCGATGCTTGTGGGCCGCCTGTTTTCCTTATCTTATACACAACATGTGAGGAAACCCAGTCTAAAGCCGATGGAACATGTCTGTAATTTACTGGGACAGCGTATCCCTCCTCCCACACCACACAATGACCCCTGTGGTTCAGCTTCTCAACCTTTAGCCTCCTCCCCGGGAGCTTTATATTCAGCTGCTGATGTTTTCCTATTTGTACACCACATACAGCCCTACAATCAGTTCATCTAGGTGTCTATTTCAGCCCTCTGGTTTGTGTATTTGCCTGTCCTTGCACTTGTATAACTCAAATCCTTATGCCTTTCTCCGCATGCAACCTGTCTGTGAGTGTTAGGCGCTACAAGAGGGAAATGTAATAACCAGCAAGCCCCGGTGCCCTGTCAGCACGGCTCATCCTCCAGAGAGGCCTGCCCATCACGGACCGCGGCGGCGCCACAGATTACGCTTTACACCGCAATAAGCCTGACACATGGAGGAGTGAGAGATTACAGCAGCAGACTATTTCTGCCACCTATTAATGCAGCTGTAAGCCTCATCTGCAGTTTGAGGCCGTAGTGGAGTGAACACACAGCACCCTCTGCTGGTGAAACACACAAACAGAAACTCAATTATTTTTATTTTTTTTAAGTTTTAATTAAAACACATTACAAAGTCAGTATGCAAATACCCTCATTTGTTAAATTAAATTATTGGAAAAGCAAATCTTTAACAGGTCTTTGTTGATGTTAGCCATAACCAAGAGCTTAAATTAATCCATGTTTCCACCTTTAACAAAGAGGCCCATCTCTTCACTTGGAAAACTAATAAATAAGACACTACTGTACGAGTGTAAAATACAGGCAAGTTTGACATTAAGTATATATATGTGCTTTTATATCCTGACTTAAACAATCAGCCCAGTAACTCGCACTATCTATGATACTGAGAAAAGCAACAGGTGTTTACAAAAATGTATTAGTGGAGAAACTCTATCAGGCAGTAAGAAGCCACTGAGAATAAGTGCATAAGCGATGCAGTTCCAGTGAGGAGTTCAGTCTGTTTCCATTCACCTCTGCACAGGCCGTATTCTGAAGAAATGTCAAGAGAGCAGGCAACATCTTCTGTAGTCCTACAAGGACGTCACACAGTGCAAAAACAATACAGCTTGGGTATGACACAACAGACAGTGCAATTAATCCCAGCCTCAGGTAACGCCAACACTGTTACTGGTAATGAGTATGAAGCACAGCAGAGACTTCCAGCCTGCTGCTACTGAGCCTGTAATAAGAGGATGTGAACTGACAGATATCAGCACCATTAATAAAGCCCCGCACGGTGACTTCTGGAGTTACAGTGCATTATCTTGCCCTGTTGTTCGTGGAGGCTTAGAGAAAAATTCTGATTTATTACAACTTTGGTCCCATTTTCGTAGGTTTGGCCATCATTTCTACACGTTTTAGAGCATTGATAGAAATCTAATCTGCAACTGTATGGATGATTAATCAATTGTTTTGGTCAATTGTCAAGCAAAATTCTGAATATTTTCTGTTTTCATCTTTGCAAATGGGACGATTTGCTGCTTCACCAAACTGAAAATATAAAAATTAAATACATTCGCTAAACTGAGAACAAGCAATTTGAATGCATAACCTTGAACTGCAAAGACGTCTTATTAAATTAGCATTTTTAACATTTTGTGACATTTTATTAAAAAATGAATTAACTTAGAAAATAATCTGCATATTATAGATAATGAAGAAAATCTAAAGGGAACGAGGGTATGGAACACAGTACAACCATGTGGAGACATACAGAGCACATACATGTTGTTTTTTCTGGCACATACAGAGCTGTGGTTCTTCCTGTGTGGTCTCAGATGTCAAGCAGACCGTTGTTGACAAACTGATGCAGAAACAAGGAAGTGACCTTGACAGAGCTCCAGGTATGAGTGAGGACACGTTCACACTTTAACTGGAAATTTAAAAAAAAAAACAACACTTTTCTATCGATAACACTGTTGTGGAAAATGATCACAACCAAAATAAACATGGAATTTAAGAGTGAACCTGGCTCAACTTTTGCTGCAATGCAACAGCATCTGACAAGGTTGGAGCCAATCAAATGGCTGCTGCAGTGCTTTGGCATCTGGTAATCCCTTAAATTCTTAAATGTAAAAATAATCTGTTTCTCCAACTGGACTTAAACACACATTCTGTTATGGTTGTAACTGTGCCTCCTGCTTTTCTTTTCGCCACTTCTGTTCTTTTCCCTCTTTGTCTGTATGTGCATGTGTCTGTTGTGGGCGTGGTCCTCCTGTTTGTCCGTACTAGCCGCTAACCAGCCACTGAGTCCTGCCTCTCAGGCCGCCACTTTGTCCACAACTCATGTGGCCAGCCAGTCACTCCCAGCCTCCCTCTTTTCTCAGCCCATCCAACCAGCCATACTCTCTCTCTCTGCCCTGCTACACCATCAGCCTCCCTCAGTCCTCTGCCCTCGTCCACCACTATCTTCATCCCAACCAACCTCCGTTCCCTATCTCAAAGAATAAATGTGTTTAAAGGTGCTTTTCTTTTGGTTCTCTTATTTGATTGTAACAGATTAGGGTGTTTAACTAACCCTCAGTTCAGCATTACTGCAGCTGGACTACTTTGTGTGCTGATGACACTCCTAAGTTCAAAATCTGTATCTGTAGCCTTTGGAGTTCTATGTGGAGTCCAGATATTGGTAATGATCATCATGTACAGGAAAACTGTGTGTGCACAAGAGCAGTACGTAGAATGGGTTCGCTACAAAGCCTGTAAACTGTAAAGGATGTTTTTGTTTGAGAAATAATTTAGTGTGGTTATCCCAGAAGTGCAGCTGAAGCCGGTCTGATCAGCACATCGCTCTGCTTTCAGTGATGTCTTCATGTCCTCATGTTTCAGCAGTTCATGACATCTAAAGAAATGAGGGCCAAAACTACAAACCAGGAACCAAGGTGTCATAAACTGGAACTATCTTTAAAATAAAAACAAACAGAAGTATTATTAGCATATTCATTTCGTGTGAAGCCTCTTTGTTTCTCTAAAAATGAACAAATTGAGAGGAACTTGTACAAACACACCAAAACAGGAAAAATGGCTACCCTAGTGCTTGGTCTGACGCCAAAGCAATTTGTGAATTTGGAAAATCTGTGTATTTACAGTTTCACAAGTCCATGACAGCTCTATCTATGAGTTCATACCTGCTGTGCTGAATAAAATAAGACCACGTCTCATTTGACTTTGTTTTCTTCCTGAGTATTTTCTTCTATCACCACGATCTGCACACCTGACAACTGTCCACTTGCATCCAGCTGCAGCCCTTCCACCCCATCAGTCTGTGCCTCCTGAATTTGGCACTGTGTCTCCTCTGCTTCTGCTGCCATCGTCACCTCCATCCCACTCTGGACCACCATGGTGGCCCCATCTCTGCCTGACTCCCCGGTCAGCTGCAGTTCCATCACTCCCACTGCCTGCTCCACTGGTGTTGGGTTGATCTCGATGACCGTGTGCTCCTGGCCGCCCTCCACCTCACCCTGCATCACCTCTTGCTGTACCAGCATGGTGCCGTCCACCACCTGGCCCTCTATAGGCACCACCTCTGTACCGCCAGCCTGCTGGCTCAGGTGCACCAGCTCCACAGGGCTGACCATTGTGCCCAGCTGGCTGGAGTCCTGCACGGCAGTGGTGCCCACCAGTGTGAGGCCCGAGGATGGGTGCAAGGTAATTGTGTCCGTCTTTCCATCTCCGGTCACCATGTACCGGGTGAAGAGCTGCGAGCCAGCGGGTAGCAGGGTGACTGTGTTGGAGGACTGGGCCAGAGAGGCCATGGGCAGGCCTGCCACTGTGAATGGCTGTCCAACAGAAGACAGCGAGATGGGGGACAGAACAGTGAACTGCTGGGGCTGCAGCGCTGCCTGCTGGGTGATTGGTGAGGTCAGGAGGGTGGTCGTGGAGGCGGGCCGCTGGAGACGAGGCCGCTTGGTTTGGCGCTTGGTAGGAGTTTTGCTTTTGGCAGGCTGCGGGCAGGACAGAAGAGCTCGCACCTGCTGCTGCTTCTTCTGCTCTTCCAGCTGTAACTCCAGGTCTGTGGAGACACAACAGGACTGACAATGAGGGCCCAGTCAATCAGCAACCGATCATCAAACACTGCTGATTAATTTTCTCGGTGCCAGCTTTTTCCAAGATTAGATTTTGCAGGTTGTAATATTGATATCAATATTCATCAGACAAAGTGGGAACACAAGCCAGCAGATGTCAAATCCAATCTTAAAACACAAACACTGACTCAATATGTTTTGTTTTATATACATATATATATATTTTTATATATATATATGGGAACAGGACAAAACTGAGTCTTACAAAAAATATTGACAAGAATTTGGATTCTTATCTTTAATGATTCAGAATCAAAACATAAATGATAAAAATAAGCATCAGAGCGAGAACATACTGAAGTTATCTTGTGGTTCATCTTCAAAGCATTCAGGTGCATTTTGGATTTAAACCTCTTCAATCCAAGCAGTGTCTGAATGTTTTTGTTTGTTTGTTTGTTTGTTTTTTGGCTCCTGTCACTTTTTTCCTCACTGTGGGTTAATTTCTCACTGAAATATAAAGTCCTGCACCTCTATGGAAACAGCACAACCATGGCAGACATTTGTTTTGTGGCGTAAGACACACAGTCGTAAAAAAATAGAAAACAAGTTGAAGATATGACGATTGTGATTGTACCGTCTCTGGGTCTGATAAATAGTGAAATTGTTTAAAGACAAAATGCCTTTCAAACCTGCAAGTAGATATTGGGGTTGAAAGACTTTAATAATTGGCTTTGCAACTGAAAATTGAAGTATTTAGAGAATATTTTGTATTCCACCACCTGATGGCTAAAGTAGAGCAGCAAACGTTAGCAGTAACAAACAGAGACCAACCAACCAACACACTGCAGCACTTAACAAAAAAATAACTTCAACCAACTTTACTGAGGTGAAGAAAACACCTCATTCCATATCGTGTTTGTTTTAAAACCCTTGTGATGCTTTCTCAAGTATTAACGTGACAGTGGAGAGGCTTTTTTCCACTGCTGGAGACAAACCATTAAGAACTACTCTGCTCCTGCTCAGTGAACTGGAATAAGAGCCAAAAAGTCTTTTTACTGAAGCAAAAAAATTGTATTAAGTGGATTTTAAATCAAATCACAAAGAATAAGAATAATGATACAACCATAGATCCTCACTATTAATGACACACTCCTACTGACTGAGATAACAATCTGTCATCCATAGTGTCTCTTCACTGTGTTAACATGTCGTGGTTTTGACATTCATTGCAGCTCATTGGAGCTACACTGATGCATAATAGCATTTAATATGATTATCAGGAATTAAGATATTCCAGTTTTTGTCTAACTGCAGCTGGGCTGCAAAGTGGTGCAGTTGGTAGCACTGTTGCCTTGCACCGGTTCACATCCCGGTGGGGGCAAAAAAGCTGCATAAAGTATATCAGACAGACATGAGTTCTCAGGGTACTTACTGCAAACCACATGTGAAGAAGAATCAGTGACACTAATGCTTAAGTTGTAGGATGGGTAGTATGTTGTAAAGATAAACAACTTGTGGACACGGTTCAATTGCTGCATCACTTTTCCTCTCCCTGCCTAAAATACAAACAGGGTTGTTGAAGCTTCGTGGTGCAGTCCATTGATTCTCCATCAGGGTTCAGCATAAACAAACTTTCTGCTTGCGTTCTTGCTGAGTTGAATAAGGGCTGCAAGGTTAATCGAAATACAATCGCTGTCTTGATTTGGACCTCTGAGCAGGCTCATTTTTACGCAGCCATGATTCTGCCGTGTTTGTATTAAGGGGAAGACCTGCTGCAACAAAACAAATGCTTCTAATTTCTCCCTGAACTGCATCAACAAATGACAAGGTAGCATTACTCCGTGTGACACACACAGCGATAGGGTGAGTGGGGGCAAGACACTGCTGCAAATACAATAAATCTGACACAAAAAAACCAAAAATGAATACGGTAGGAATACAGAAATACATTTATCCACTGGGACTGGCCATCATCGGTTTTGTTTTTATATCCTCATATTACTCATTAACAAAGATGGGGAGCAGTAGGTGTCATCACTCATTTAAATGTCAGCCTAATCGATCTCACGGCACAGCTGCTGTCATTGACCTGCTTCAGTTAATTTTATCAGACAAATATGTAAATGAGAACAAGTATACTGCAAACTTGGTTGCACTTCATTTTGTGAGATTATGCGATGATTGATAAATAAAACTTTCAGCCAGTTGCAGACACCACAGATGCCAAGTTGTCCTCTCAGAGGACTCCCTTACATATGGCAGCAGGTCATATCTGTGTATTCTGCACTTACACACAGCTGTTTAATATGCACATTACGAGCACTTGTATACTTGGAGAGATGACTACATTCAGATCACATGGACTCTGGTGGGACTTCGCAGACTGTCAGATGTGAAAAGTGTAACACCAGCAGAGCAGAGTGGATGTCAGGGGACTACGCTGTCCTTTAGTGTGACCCAAGAAACATTTGCCACTGCAAGAATGTAGTCACATGATTACTGATGATGCGACTGCTGATGAAAGCAGCAGGATGAATTCTGAAGCATTTCAGGAAATATTATTTACTAATTCAGCCAAATGCTTCAGAGCTCATTGGATGGCACTTCACTGTGGAGGTGGACAATGGCCTGAAGCGTACTGCAAAAGCTACCAAAGAGTTTTAGGGAAAGAAGTGGTTCTGCAGCGGCCAAGTCAATCACCAGACCTGAATCCAACTGAGCATGCACTTCATTTGCTGAGCAAAGATTTGTAACCAAATATTAATATTAAACATGACAATTTGATTAATGATTATGTTAGTTTGTCCAATTACTGGGCTGCAAAGTGGTGCAG